TTGCTGAAAAACATCGAGCTGTTTGACAAGCTCTCCCTGCGCTTCAATGGCCGCGTGCTCTTCATCAAGGATGTCATTGGCGATGAGATCTGCTGCTGGTCCTTCTACGGCCAGGGCCGCAAGCTGGCCGAGGTGTGCTGCACCTCCATCGTGTATGCCACGGAGAAGAAGCAGACCAAGGTGTGGGGGGGCTTCCCTTTGCGCGGGCAGGGGCGGGACGCAGCCCAGGGCAGCCCCAGCTGGGCCTTTCATCACCGGGAGCGAGAGGGCGTTCGGTTTGCTCTGTTTTCCCCAGACTCACATGATGGTGCTGGGCAAGGACAAAGTCAGTTCGGGGAGTTCGGGGAATGGCCTAGGAATGCTTTGTCCTGGTCAGCTGAGAGGCAAGAACAGCATGGTGTGGCGGGAAGGACTGGGTCTTTGGAGTTGGCCCAATTTAGGTCTGAATTCTGGTTCTACCGTAGCCCTGTTTTCTGGCCTCATACAAGCTGTTTAAAGCATCAGGGCCTTAGTTTCCTCACCTGCAAACAGGGGCCTGATAGTATGCAGTCAGTGGAAGTATTAGGAGAACGTGGCAGTTCCTAGGAGCAGCAGTATAGGGTCTGATTGCCTCTCTGGCCCTGGCTAGTCAGGCGTTCCTGGTTACCAGCTCAGCCCCTGTAGTAACAACGCAGCGCCAGGTGTATGTGAGGGATTCGACAGGTGACAGTTAACGCAAATTCAGCAAACCCTGTTCTCCCGGTCTGCAAGCTGTTGGTGTCCTCCCCAGAGGGGAGCTGCCCGCCCCCCCACGCCGGCCCTGTGTGTGTAACAGAGTGGGCGGAGTCCTCTGCTGGGCGGGGAGGGCAGCCCACTCGCAGAGTCGTGGACGCAAGGGGCTCGGAGCACCCAAGCTCGTGTAGCACCTGCTCGGCCCCCAGGCCCCTGAACTGCATAGGGCCATCTGAGGTTTGCGGGGGGACAGCTTACAGGAGGTGTCCCTGCTTCCCCCTGGCATTTTGTTGGTGCGGACTCCTGTGTGCACTTAACAGAGTCAGGATTCCAAATCAGGTCACCTTCCTGAGTGTTTTGTCTTTTGTGAACTTTGACTCTTCACAGCACACCTATGAGACAGGCAGGGCTGGAGCATTCTCCGCACTCGACAGCTGAGCTGTCAGGTTAGGCTAGAATCCAGCTGCCTTTCTGTCTTTCATGTTCACACCAGCTCTCTGAAGTAGGTATTGGCCCTGGTTTTACGCGAGAGGAAACTGAGGCCCTGCCACTCATAATTGCTGGAGCAGTATTTAAGCCTGGCTCTGAGCACAAGGCCAAGGCCCTAACCTCCCCACATGCTAGCCCGCTGGTCTGGGACTGGGCGGAGCACGGGTGGCATGCTAGTCTTTGACGTCCTTTTGTCCACGAATCCAACTCCCCACATCTCCTCCAGAGAGAGGCTTCCCCTCCCTCACGAGATGGGAAGCCACCTGTCTTGGGAGAGCGTTTGGGAGGAACTTAGCCAGCCCAGGGGCAAGGGCCCTGCCACATTGCAGCGTCTGTGGGATGAAACCTCACTCAGTCCTCTTGTTCCCCTGAGCCCAGGTGGAATTCCCAGAGGCCCGCATCTATGAGGAGACGCTCAACGTCCTCCTCTATGAGACCCCCCGAGTCCCTGACAACTCCTTACTGGAGGCCACCAGCAGGAGCCGCAGCCAGGCTTCCCCCAGTGAAGATGAGGAGACCTTTGAACTGCGGGACCGGGTCCGCCGTATCCATGTCAAGCGCTACAGCACTTACGATGACCGGCAGCTCGGCCACCAGTCTACGCATCGCGACTGACAAGACCCTCAGGGAGTCAGGCCACGGGACACCCTGTCTCCTGTCCTGTGGAGCCCTGCCCCGTTGGCCACCCCACGCTGCTGTTGGCTCGGTTTCTGCTCCAGCACCCAGAAGCATGACAGGAGGGCAGAGGGCCTGGGCAGGAGAGGGACCACATTCCTTTGCCCTGCTCCCTGAGCACTTCAGGATGACCCAAGTCCTGGATCCTTTGCTCACCCTTCCTGACAGGGAGCTGTGTCTGCCCCTGGGGCAACTGGGCTGACCTGCCCATGTCCCACGAGAACAGTCCCCTTGGCCCCTTGCTGAGTGTCCTTTGGCTCTACTGAAGGGCTACCTTTAAGGCCTCTGGGGAGGTCCGTGGGGAGTGGGCTCATTCTGGTGCTGTGGAGGCCCAGTTTCTTATAGAAGGTGGGGCTTCTTTTTCCTTGAGGTCTTTAAGCACAGGCTTCATGACTTTGGTTTTTAAAAAATTACCTAGGAAATGAATAGCTTGAACTCTAATAATGAGGGGACTGGGCATTTGTGCTACCCCTTTAGGGTGCCAAGACCCTGGGTAGGGCTGAACCCTTGGCCTTCCTTGATGCCTTTGGCATCTGTTTCTTTAAAGCACTTTGTACTCTTACTCAATTTGTATTCTGCCCTGACCCACATCATCTTTTTCTGACTCTAACCCCTCTTCCCTGCAGAATCAATCTGAGAGGGGCTAGAGAAGCAATAAAACAAAACAAAAAACTGACTAGCTTTGGCTTTGCTGGGCTGGCCAAGCAGCCAGTCCAGAGAGCATGCAGGAAAGAAGGACATTTAGGTTGGGAACTGTGGTCCTAATAATGCCCATGAGAAAGGACATTTTAAGGTCATGTAATGGACTCCTAGGGCTTAACATGATTGCTCTTTTTGATTCTTTTGCCCTCAGCTACAAGGCATGCTTTGCTTTACTTTCTGGAAACCCAAAGGGCCATTACAGGGGCCAGGATCATGAGCCACAGTAGGAAGGCAGTGGAGCCCATGAGTGCTGCACTCGGATGCCCATCAGCTGAGGTCAGTGACCACCGGCTCCGTGTTCCCACCAGCCCTGTGCAGAGGTGACATGTACTTGGCTGTGGAGCCCCTGCCTGCCCCATATTACTGGTTTCGTGTCCCCGCTGAGGATGGTGGTTCTGCCCAGCGCTGAGTCTGGACACAGGGTGATGGGAGCAGCCTAAATCCCTTCGGAGGCCAGGTTAACGTGGCTGTGGAGCCACCAAGCCCCAGCTCTCGGGCAAGGTGCAAGTTCCTCCTTGGGGCTTTTTCTCACTACCTGCTGTTTGGCTTGGCCCTCGGGAGACTGCTTATCCAAATTCTTTTCCAAAGGAATGCCATCAGGGAGGGACTGCGCAGCCGGCCTAAGAAAATGCCATATCCCACAGCTGCTGAGCAGTAGCTACTCTGAAAGGAGCACAGGTTATTAGGCTCCTCTCCCCTGAGAACTGTCACTCTAGCTAAGTGGCCTGCTTGTGGCTGACCCGATGGAGCCTATAGGCAAATGCCAGGCCCACGGTTCGCAGACACCCACAAGGACCTGAAATGACATGATGAGGCCGGGGAAGTGTGACTAACCATGTATTTTACACTTGTCACAGCCTTGAATGTGTAGATTTTCCAGTGAGGCACCCTGGTCATCAGCTCAAAACACTTCTTCCAGCCCTGAGTGGAGTAACTAGATGAAGACAAATCCTTTCCTTTGGCCAGATTCTGGCCTTTGGCTTTGTGGTTTTCCCGCGGAGACTGGAATGCTTTCTGCCTGAGGCCACTGGCCTATTTCCTCTGCTACCCTCCTGAGGCCCTCTAATACTCAAAGCCCCAGCTTCCCACTGAGGTATTTTAGTGCTTGTTCTTTGACCTCCCCAGCCCCAGCCTCTCTGCTGCTTTGACATTTAGATCCTCAGCTGTCTTCAGTGGTGACTAGCCTTTCTTCCCAAGAAAGCACAATAATCCTGGGCTGATCAAAAATATCTCCCTGGTCTTAAGAAAAATACTAACGTTGAAATCACTGAAGTAATCTTAGCTTCTTTAATCAGACTTTGTGGCATAAGGGTTGGGGGAATTTCTTTGCGCTTCTCAGCCCCATTCAGAAAGCAGCTCTCAGCCGTGTCAATTTTTCAACTTGGAGCAGCTCATGGGAGCGCAAACAAGGAGTGTGGATGAAGGTCAAACCTTGTCAGTTTCTGAGAAAACTGGAAGCCTGCTGTTTACCACTGGTCCCGGGACTGGGCTTTACTCCATTTCTTATCTGACCAATGTCTACCTAAAGTGATGGCCCAGGTCCTGCCATAAGAGAACATCCCCTTTGTCACTTACCTGCAATCCCTTGTTGCTCAGCACAGGTGATGAAAACAAACACTAATTTCTAATAAAAATGTGTTACAGTGCTGTGGTACAGAGCCGTGCTTGCAGTGACCAGAACTGGGTCAGCTCACTGTTGTGGACCTAGCTCTTGTTTTCCTCCTGTTCGCCACCTGCCTTGCGTTCTCTGAGTCCGAAATCCTATTGCACTCAGTTGCCCTGCAACCCAGGCTCCCCCTGGTGGAGGATTAAGGACAACACTAATAAGGGCTGGAACTGAGATTTAATATTAAGAATAAAATGATCTCTTTAACAATCACTATGGTAGTAGGGAAGCAGGAATCCCTATGATTCAGGGGGAAATGCAGCACATTTCATCTCTGGCTCTTAAGGATCTGTGAGCAGCTCAGAAAGTAGCTTGGCTCAGTCACCATTCATACATATCTAAAGCTTCTCGGCTGAGTTTCTCCATTTGTCGTCTGGAAAGGCCTGACAGACACAGGCTAATGGCTGGCAGGCCTATTATTCCAGGGACCTCACATGGCTTGCCACACTCCTTCCCAGGATCAAGGAGGCCAGCGATGCCAACGGCTGACCAGTGCGGAGAACCCTGAGCCTGATGCTGGCCTCCTGCTCAGCACTTGGCAGAGGTTAAAGAAAACAAGAGTCCAATCTAGCCCTCACCCCACTGGCTGAGAGGCACCGTGACCCTGGGAGATGTTCAGCCAAGTCCGAGCCTCAGGGGAGAAGCATACACTCTAACAGATGGGGCAGTTTCCTGGAAAGGCAGCAAGGACAGCAATCAAGGGCACCACTGGTCAAAAAGGGAGCCTGAGAACCCAGGGGCAGAAATGGCGAGGGTGGCCAAGTGTGCACTGGTTTATTGACCAAACCTCATATTCCAAACAACTTGTGGAATAGGCCAGGAAACCCAGGCCTGTGGCAGCTGAACACAGAATTCCTGGTGGAAAGGTTTACTGGAACACAGTGTAGTCAGGGCTTACGGGGGAGGCCAGCCTTGGAGGAGTCCTACACAGGTCTTCTGGAGAAAACGATTACACCCACCCGCTGAAAAAGAACCCCACAACCAAACGGTACAAACAATAGAAGAGACCCACTGTGGCCCCTGGTGGAAAGAGAGTTCTGCAGCAGTTGTGGGAGGAGAGCTGTTCAGAGGCCAGGCCTAGGCACTCGGGCCTCAGCTGGCCTACCAGTGAAGGCCTGATGGTGGTGTCTTCTCATCTTTATTGCTTTCCAGGGAGAAGGGAGGGATCCGGACATCAAAGTGGGAGCCATCAGGCCTCTCGAAGCGGAACGTGCCCCTGCAGGTCAGAGAGAAGGTGGGTTAGAGGGAGTAACGGCAGAGGCCCTACTGAGGATCTTGAGAGCCCTAGGCCCTTGGCTCCGGGACTGAACACAGCACGATGAGCTCCCTTCAGCCTGGTTCACGTCAAGATAACACTGGTCTACAAACCCGAGAGCCCTTCCTGACCCTACAAGAAAAGAAACAGCTGCCCTGATTCTGGCCCTTAGATGCACACTCATAAGCTACCCAACCATACTTTTAGGTTAAGGAGTGAACCACCAGGGGAAAACCAACTACATGGGCAACTCAGTGCCACACCAAACCACCAAACCTCTCAGGTCTAAGTCCTCAGTCCATGAAATCACAGGAACTAGAAAACAGAAAAAAATCCAACAAGTCCCCCATGACAACGAACAGCAGAAAAACCCCATCTCAAGATGGAAGCCGGCCCAGAATTAACGACGGCAAACTCTGAGCTCTCATGTTTCTGAGCTGCGGCTGTGTCTGCGGAGTTGGGGCACCCCGTCTCCCAGCATGTGCTCACCCACTCACCACATGTGCCCGCTGGAAGCTTGCAAGGAGACGTGGCTGCTGTACTGGAATGCAGGCTGCTCCTTGGATAACACGGGTTCCTATAAGGGTTCAGGGAAAATCGGTAAGGCCAGGCCAGCTCCCCATACCCTGGGGTCACATGCCGACTGCCAGTTCATCAGGAGGGTGCCCCTTCTGGCCCCCCACGATGACTGCCTGCCAGTACTCACCGCCCCCCCGCCGCCCCCGAGACCAGCCACTGACCTGGGTCTTGCATTCTGCTTCTGGGAAAGAGAACCTCAGACTTAACATCTAAGGCCACTGGGCAAAGATGCTGGGCAGAGTACCTCCTCTGTAAACAGCCCTTCCAGAGTCCATTGACTAAGTGCGTGGGTGCCAGGTGCTGTGCTGCTGCTCTGCAAACCTTGGCTAACTTAAACCTCCCGGGAATTATGAGGTAATAGGTGTGACTCCCATTTAACAGGAAGAAACTGAGATTTTTTTGTTAAACTGGCCCAATGTGGGGAATAAACCACAAACAGCTGGCATTCAGAGCCAGACTATCTCACTCCAAAGCCCTGGTCTTACTCAGCATCCCACCCTACATCCCAAGTCCCCGCTCATGGGGAGAAATACATGTTAAATGTGGTCGCTGGCCGTTTCTCAGGACTTCATTCTCAGAAGACACGGTGGGGTAGTACAGGATTTGCAAAATCCGATCTCTTCGTGGACCAGCAGAGGCAGGTGTATTAAGAGGCAGAGGAGGGGTGCTTGGGTGGCTCAGTGGGTTAAGCCTCTGCCTTCAGCCCAGGTCATGATCTCAGGGTCCTGGGATCGAGCCTGCTCCCTCCGCCCCATCTCTGCCCTGCCTCTCTGCCTACTTATGATCTCTCTCTGTCAAATAAAATCTTTTATTAAAAAAAAAAAAAAAAAAAAAGAGGCAGAGGAAAGACAACCAGAAGCAGAGGCTGGGGCAGGTTAGGGGGAGGAGCCCCACAGAAAGGCACAAAAGCTCTGATGTTGGACTCCCCTGGATTCAAATCTGCCATTACCAGGCACAGGACCGGGGGCCAGTTGCTCACTTCGCAACCTCTCTCTTCAGCTGTGACTCAGGCTGTAAGAAACCATCTCATGGGGTTGTTGTAAGGTGTCACCCAAAGCAGCCCAAGGCATCCCACAATGAGCCTCTGTCTCCAGCCACAGAGGAGAGGAGAGCAGGCACTGAGCCCCCAGGCCTGCCGGGAAGGACCAGAAGCGGCATTACTGGCCTGATGATGCTCACCCTTCCCACCACGCCTCGGCCTCGCACTGTCTCCAAGGTGCCAGATAAACTGAATATCCTCCAGTGTCGCTCCCGGAGCTGCACCACGTCACTGTCGAGGTTCTCTAAGCGGATACAGTAGCGCCACTGTGGAGGGCAGAGGACAGAGTTCACAGCTGACAAAGAACAGACCTTGAGCTAGCCTACCTGGAATTCTACGAAAGCAAAAGGCAACCAAAAGGGATATCTGCAGTGCACAGACCCCTCCCGCCAGAGCCAAACTGCCCCCCTCCCAGCCCATCTACCCAGGTACACACTCACCCAGTAGACATGGGAATTCTGGGCTTCCTGCGGGGGGAAAAAAAAAAGAATTTGAGTCCCAGAGGGCAGGACCAAGTCTGTTCCAATCAAGAGCTATCCAACTGAGGAAGTGTATTCCAGGAAGGTTGCAGAGACAGAACAATGCTGTGAGTGTCTGTGGGATGGTGACTGGACTGCAGCCAACAAGCCCCAAAGGAGGCAGCCTCCCCTGGCCTGGTCCCTGGCCTCCTCCCTCCTCCTTGATCACCAACAGAGCTGGGTGCCAATGGACGTCAGCCACAGGGCCCTTCCCCTTCTCACCAGTCTTCCAGCCAGCTGCTGCCCCCCACCCCTGCAATCACGGCTGGCCCAGGCCACGGCCCTCCTCGGCCCTTCCACAGCCCAATACTGTGACAACACTTGATGGGTTCTGTGCTAACCTCTCCCACTACCATGGGCTCCTGAAAGGCAGGGACAGGGTTTCATGTTTACTAGAGGCTCACAGCCAGGCAAGAAAGAGCTCAACAAACATCTGACTAACGCATACCGAGTATGAACATCAGCTTCTACTGATTTAAACAAGTACGTGTATGTTCTTCATGAACAGGAAGCTTTTGAACCAGAAAGAAGGAAGAGTCAGCCTGGAGGACTCTGTCCCAGAACTTGAGTGTCTGCCGCTCTAGATCCTGAGAGTCCGCCCAGTATGTGCGGCACTTGGAAGCAGAACCACTAGGCACATGGTGGAATCTACTCCAAAGTCACACTGGGGATACCAGAGAAAATCTGGGGGCCCACCCCGAGGGGAGGGACCCAGCCAGGTACACACCCTCATGCCCATGTAGAAGGGGATGACGGTGACACGGATGTTCTCAGTTGTTTCCCGGTGGACATCAGAGAGCTCCAGCCAGGGGTGATTCTTCTCTTGCCAGGCCCGAAGCGTCTCCCGGGCCACAAAAGGAGGTGCTGGGGCAAGAGAAGACTAGTTAGTCCAGGCCAGAGTCCCGGGTGTTCTCCAACTGCCCCTCCTAGAAAACTCTTCCAAGTGAGGGCCCAGGGAAATAAGGCACCCAAACTGGAAGCAAAAGCACAGGCTAGAAGAAGGCACAAGGCCACCAAGAATAAGCCCTGAGGCATTATGGGACATCCTGGGAAGAAAAACGGGCTGGGAGTGAGGAGCCCAGGTCTTCAGACCCTACTGTAACCCTGACCTTGCAACTCACTAGCAACCCTGAGTCCCTTCTTCTCATCCCTGAGCCTCAGGTTCCATATCTGTTAGGAGGAGACAACTGCCATCCGCCTGACAGATCTAATGGGAGGCTAAATAAGGTTGTGGATATACAGCTTTGAAGCTACTTGTGTGATGCCATCTTTGAAGAAGGGCCCTCCCATTTCAGCTTCCCTTCTTGAGAGAGCTCACCTTTTGTCTGGTCGTACAGAAGAAATCTTTCAAACAGCTCATGCTGGATGGGAACCTGATCTGTGGAGGTATAGGGGAGGATGTCTTCATGGCTGACATAGTCCAGGCCTGGCACAGAGAGGGAAAAGAAACAGTGAAACTCACACAGGAAAAGAGAGGAACAAGACTGAGAAGAAACACAATGCTGGCCTTGTCTCCAAGTGGGACAAGCCTGGCACCACTGCTCTCAGCTTCTATAATCCCTCCTAGCAGATTAAAGGACATCGGAAAGGCATCGGAGTCTTCTAAGACACACCAGGCCTCTCACCAACAGGCATACTCAGATACACATTCACTGCTCACCTGGGATGGCATAGAGGGCCCGGCTATCATCATGGTTAGCCAAGAAAGTCACAGCTTCTGTCTGAGATCTCTGAGACTAAGGAAAGAAGCGAGACAGACTTTCTTAGTCACAATCCAGTCCTGAGAACTTGGGGCCCAGTGCTGATCTGGGCTCTCTTTGACCCTTCTCCCTCCCTCTGTCTCCACCAGGTTTAGGCCTTTCCCAGGGAGAGAAACCCCAGGCCCAGCCACCTTGCTTACTTACTATATGTGGACAGTCTCGGGCATCAATCAGCACCTGATAGTAAGTGTGAGTTTTGCCTTTCACCTCCTTAGAGCCATGGCCTGCAGGATTCTCTGCTCTAGAGGGTAGGGGAAGAAGCCCAAGATCACCCCAAGAGAAACCAAAGTGGTGCCTGCCCTAGCTCCCTACCACCTCCTTACCTAAACGGACTTGTTAGTGCCTGATCTGAAGGGGTTTTGGCGTCAGCTGTGTACCTGCTCAGCAACATCCGGGCCCAGCCCATCCCCAGTCAGAATGTGGAGGACCCATGGCACCACGGTAATGAGGAGGACCCATGGCACAGAGTCTTTATTTGTCTTAGTCTCTGGCTGCTTCTTGGAAGGAGGGGACGACGCTGAGAAAATCAAATTGCTGGTTCTATCCCTGGAGCCCTGAGTACCCCACTCTTCTCACATCCCTGGGGTGGTCTGGGGTGGTCTGTGATTACTTAATGGAACTAGGCCTTTTCTTTTTTAATGTACTCTAATGATAAGAGACAGAAAGATTCTAATTGAACATCAGAAAATGAAGGAAATTAGTCCCTCAATGCCTTCTGGGCTACTTATAATGCAAATAGAGAACAGCTTGGGAAGGCATCCTGGGGAGGCCTAAAGGGACCCTGTGGCTTCAGACTGTCCCTGGCACTCAGCACTTTTGTCTCCATGGTGTCCAGGAAGTATTCTGGGACTGTTCCCATGGCCCAGGAGGATGTTCAGTTCTCCCCTGGGACCCCAATTATGTACATCAGCCATGAGTCAGGACTCCTCCTGAGGGGACCATGAGGCACAATGACAGGGGTACTTACTTTTCTGGAGCTGTAGAAGCCACATCCCGGTCATACAGTCTGGCCTGCCAGGGAAACAGGACAACACCTCGGTAGCCAAAAACACTATGAAGGAAGAGCTAGGAGGAAAGAGAGCCTCAGTGAGTGTGTGGTCCACAAGTCTTTTTTTTTTTTTTAAGATTTTATTTATTTATTTAACAGAGATCACAAGTAGGCAGAGAGTCAGGCAGAGAGAGGGGGAAGCAGGCTCCCTGCCTAGCAGAGAGCCCAATGTGGGGCTCGATCCCAGGATGCTGGGATCATGACCTGAGCCGAAAGCAGAGGCTTTAACCCACTGAGCCACCCAGGCACCCCCCACAAGTCTTTCCAGGTGGGACTCAGACCACTAAGCAGCACAGGTAGCTGGTAACCCCAGCACAAGGTCCTACCGATCTTTCCCTTGAACTTGGTGATCCACCCCCACCAGCTTCAGAATACTCTTGACCCCCTTCACTGGGCTGACTTCTGCTGATCCCTTAGATGGTAGCCTAAAGCTCTAGGAAGACTTCCCTGACCTCCCCTCAACTCAGCACAGTGTATAACCACTGACCCCATAATTCCTTTCTAGACTGCCAACTCTACGAAGGCATTGCTTTTTTTCTTTCTTTTTTTTTTTTTTAAGATTTTATTTATTTATTTGACAGAGATCACAAGTAGGCAGAGAGGCAGGCAGAGAGAGAGGGGGAAGCAGGCTCCCCGCTGAGCAGAGAGCCTGATGTGGGACTTGATCCCAGGACCCTGAGATCACGACCTGAGCCGAAGGCAGAGGCTTTAACCCACTGAGCCACCCAGGTGCCCCAGGCATTGCTTTTTGATTCAGGTCCAACACACAACACCAGGTCTATTGCAGGAAGGCAAGAAAAGGGGAGTGGGAAGTTGAATAAACAGAAAGTCCTTACTTACAAGGTGCCTAAAACTATCTCAGTGCATCTGGCACAAAGTTGATACAAAAACTCTGCACCCACAACTTATATTACACTGCAATCAGTTCAACCATGACAAAGTATCAAAGGTTTGCTCTTCTTTCTTTTTTTCTTTCTCTCTCTCTCCCTCTCTCTCTCTCTTTTTCCCTTTAGCAAGAGAGGAAGGGGAGAGGGAAAGGGAAAGGGAGAGAGAAAATCTTAAGCAGGCTCCTCACCCAGCAGGGAGCCAGATGCAGGGCTCTATCCCAGGACCCTGGGATCATGACCTGAGCCAAAACCAAGAGTTAGCCACTGAAACTTCTGAGCCTCCCAGATGCCCCCAAAGGTTTCCTTTTCTGAAAGCTCCCTCCACTGGCTTCCTACCTTCCACAAACTTACAGGACTCTTCAGCAACCTGGCCCTCTCCTCACTTTGGTCCAAATTATCTCTGTCCACGCTAACTTGGAAAGGGAACCCACTGACACATGAAAAGGATTCACAACCAGGAAAACAGAAACCCCATCTTAAAAAATTTGTGATTCTGCTCTGGCACTAAACACCAAGGCAGAAAAATTCGGGTCTAGGACCAAAACTAACCCTTTCAGAAGCAGGGCACACCTTGAAAACAAATATAAGATGACCCAGCCCAGCACTCACCTGCCCAGTCTCGTATTTTCCGTTCTGTTTTGGCACCTCAAATACACCAACCGTCTCCAAAACTTTGCCCTCTGGTCGGTTCCTGGTTAGGAAGGAAAAGAACAAGCAACTGAAAAGAAAAGCTGAGAAGGTAATGGTACCTACACCATTAGAATACGCTACTAGGATACTGAGGGGCCAGGCAGTGAGAGCAGAGAAGGGTCAAAGCAGTGGGGGAGGGGGGGTGAAGCAGATAAGGGTCCTCCCAAACCACCACTCCAGATTCTGCCTTTCGTCCTTGGAGGTCCAGCCACAGGCCCTGCCTCAGTTTCTCTGTTAAGTCTGACTGCTCCCAGATCACTTCCTCCTCTCTTCAGTCTCAGCATTCCTCATATCATGCCCTTGCACCCTGCTTATTTATACCCCTTGCCTCTGTTTCTTCCCTGACCCATCCTCCTGACCTCCCACAGCAATTTTTTTTTAAGACTTTATTTATTTATTTGACAGACAGAGATCACAAGTAGGCAGAGAGGCAGGCAGAGGGGGGGTTGGGAAGCAGGCTCCCTGCTGAGCAGAGAACCTGATGTGGGGCTCGATCCCAGGACCCTGGGATCATGACCTGAGCTGAAGGCAGAGGCTTTAACCCACTGAGCCACCCAGGCGCCCCCCTCCCACAGCATTTTAACCGCCTTTCCCATCTTGCATTTCCGTTGTTTGTGCCCAGCTCTTATCTCCACTAGAGACTGTAGGTGCCCTGAGAGCAATGCCTGTGTCTGATTAGTTGTGTTCCCCCTCAGAGCCGAGTGTGTGAAACATTTGTTTTATAATTCCAGCTCTGTCTACCCTCCCCCCAAAACTGCAGCCTTTACCCTACCCTTGAACAGCTTAGCCATCATCTCCAGATGTCCTACCACACTCACTGCACTGCACCTAGTAGTCTCTCAATCTAGTTTTTGTTCAGATTCACATCACATTTCACAGGGGTCTTACACTGCAAATATTTATCATCTCTCCCCAATACCAGTGTCTGATTTCAGCCACCAAAAAGTCAGTTCTCTCTGGTCTCTCTGGACAGGGGTGCTTTTTCTAGGAGTGCTTCAAAGACCTGCTATGCTTAACATTTTGGGGATGTGAACCTTATGCTTCCTCTCACTTGATCCTCCAGCCCCAAACTGACCTGCCTGTCCCATCGCTAGAGACAATGCTCACACCACTCCCCATGGCCTCAAGCCCCCTCGCCAAGTCACAGAGAAAGAACCAATCTCCCAAGGTCACGCAGAAACCCGGAACCCACGCAGGGCTCATTCTCAAGAGTCCGGTTTCCCACTTCGAGCATCTTTCTGAGGGAGGCTTTGTCCCAATCCGGGGCTGAGGGTTCAAGTCAGGAGCCCTGGGGTTTAATTAAAAGGCTGCCCACTAACAACAGCGCTCGAGATCTCCACTTGGGGAGGTAAAATTCGCTCCGGGAGGGTTACTAGCTCCCCCTCAGAGCCAGTACTGCGTAACCCAGGGCTCTGGGCCGCGCTCCCTTCTCTGCTCCTGGCACACATCCCAGGCAAGGCAGGTCGGCTCCCGGCCGGGACCCTCTCCCGGGTCGAACTTCAATCACCCTCGGCCGGTCCGGCCTCCTGGCCTCCTCCCTGGCCGAAACACGCTCCCTGGGCTCCACGTACGGGCCCCGCGCTCCGTCCCTCACCGGGACGAGAGGTGCCTCCGCGTTGTCGTGGTCGCCGCTGGTGGGAAGGCCCCAGCTCCACCTGCCGAACAGAGCGGCCTCGGCCCTCGGGCCCCGGTTAGCGAGCGGGACCACCAGCGGCTGCCCACCGCCAGGGCTCGCCGGGCCACACAGCCCGCCATGTCCCGCCCGAGCGTCTGCTCGGCTGCTGACACTGGGCCCAACCCGCGGCCGGAGGCGTTCTGCCCCCGCCCCACACTGCCCCGCGCCGCGTCCCCGCCCCCTTGGCCCTCTGTCGCGCCTCATCCCGCCCCGCAACCTCCATGCTCCTTCCGCTGAGCGATGAGCGGAAGTCCCTGCTCCCGGTCACCTGACCCCAGGTCCGCCAGACATGGCGTCTTGCTTGCTGGCAGGGGAGCGACTGGTTCGCGCTTTGGGTCCCGGTGGGGAGCTGGAGCCAGAGCAGCTGCCCCGGAAGCTGCGGGCAGAACTTGAAGCTGCGCTAGGGAAGAAACACAAGGACGGCGATTTTTCCAGTGGCCCCGCGCGCCTGGTTTCCTTCCGACTGATCCGAGATTTGCATCAGTATCTGAGAGAGAGTGGTGAGCTGCAGTCTCCAGCCCGGACTCGTCCCCCTTTTTCCACAGTCTTTTCCTTCCTGACTCTTTTTCCCCCTCTGCCATCGTTATGAGAGGGGAAAAAAAATCCATCACTCTTCACCCGCGGAACAGTCATCTAGCTAACCCAAGAGTCACCTCATAAACCATAGGACAACCCGCTCCCTTAACAGCTTCCATGAGGATTTCTTGTGGGTGGCAAATTTTACGTGTGCAGTTTCTGCTCTCTTGAGAGTCTCTTCTTCACTACCACCCCGCCTTAGGGCCTCCTGACCTTTGAGGAAGTCCAGTTCTAACCCAGTACACCGCACACAAGTTCAACTTTTTCCTTTTAAGCTACAGTAGAAAACAACTTAGGATAGTGAGCTTGTCCTGTTTGGGTATTTGGATTTCTTTTCATCTGATAGCGTCTTTCTGCACCCTCCCACCCCCCACCCCCCACATAGAACGATGGAAAGCTGTGTTGAAAGACCTGAACTGGGAGTAGCAGCTGAGTTCTAGTCCTAGCTCTGCAGCAAACTCCCCTTGGAGAAGTCGTGTCTCTTCCTTGCGTCTCAGTTCCCCTCACTGTGAGGGGAGGGACTAGGACAAACTGGCCTGTAAGGTCTTTTGTCAAAATTAACACAGTCTACCCAGAAGTACAAAGGGTAGACCGCTCAACTACTAGAACTATTAGAACTAAAAAATACCTTTTGGGGGCACCTGGGTGGCTTAGTGTATTGAGCCTCTGCCTTTGGCTCAGGTCATAATCTCAGGGTCCTGGGATCAAGCCCCGCATCTGGCTCTTTGCTCAGCAGGGAGCCTGTTTCCCCCTCTCTTTCTCTGCCTGCCTCTCTGCCTACTTGTAATTTATCTCTCTGTCAAATAAATAAAATCTTTAAGAAATAAAAATAAAAAGTACCTCAGATATCATCTAGTACACTATTCTTTAAGTATTTAGCATCACCATGACTTAAACCTATTTAGGGCAGTTCTATTGTGGCCACAGCGTGACTTAATCTGAACGCAAATGTAAGTGGCTTATTGTTAGCTGTGACTTTGGCGAAATAATTGAGAGCTGACACTTAGCTATGCATACTAGGAGATATTTATGTGGAATTGTCCTCGATTCTTCTCAATTGAAAATGATCTTGGAGATGAATTGAAATAGGGATGGCCATGTTTTATTTTGGTAGAAAAAAATAGAAGGGCCAGACCCTTTTCTGATCTTAATCCTTCAACCTCAATTCTATGCATCATTATGTTTGTAAAAATCTTTTCTTCCCAGGTTCCACACTATACCTTCATGAGCTCCTAGAAGGCAGTGAAATCTATCTCCCAGAGGTGGTGAAGCCTCCCCGGGTATGTAACGGATATATTTGTGAAAGTGGTGTTGGCTGAATTGGACTTACAATACATTCAGATTTATGAATCAACCTCTAGGCTCAAAAATTTGTCTTTTAAATCCTTGAGAGCTGGGATGGGGGAAACAGATACTGTCCTCCCTGCTTGACAGGTTGGAAAACAGATCTGCAAAAAAAAAAAAAAAGTTTCCAAAGCAGTGGAGGCATAACTAGTACATGGGTCTCTTAGCACCCTTAGGAGTGCTTTGCCCCCTGAAACCAATGATTGTAACATGGCTTTCTAATAAGCTGGGGATATCCTTCTCATTTGATTTTTCTGCCTCAGAACCCAGACCTAGTTGCCCGTTTGGAGAAGATTAAGATACAGCTGGCCAATGAGGAATATAAGCGGATCACATACAATGTCACCTGTAAGGTAAGGGCCCGCTCCTCAATACAAGGACTGAGTAGCTTCTGAAAGCAGACCTCTGTGCTGGGAAGAGATACAGAGGGGGAAAAAAAAAACATCTTGGAAGCTTGGTTTTTATACTTGTCAGGGTCCACAGAAGCTCTGTGCTGCATACAAACCTAATACAATTCCCAGCTCATTTACTGAGACTCTGGGCTCAGGTCGTGACAGATTCTTAAAAGTTGGAGAGATGGAGATAAGCCTTGGAGCCTTTCTTCTGATAGGACTCCCTATTGTTCTGTGGCATGCTCCCACCCTGGAGCAAGAGAGGAGTAGATGGGTACTGGGAACCTATGTCCTTTTTCTGAAATGCATGATCTGTGGTTCAGGAAAAAATCCATCTGGTTCTGACAACAGAATCCATGGAGAAGGCAGACTTAATATGTTGGGAAATAAAGAGAGCAGAGCCCAGACTGACAAATAGTTACTCTCTGGGCTGCCTCTGAGCTGCTTCCATTTGGAATCATTTGTGTTTTCTTTTTCCCAGGATTCAAGACATGGTGGGACTCTTAGTGAACTGGGAAAGCAAGGTGAGGTGCTGGGAAATCACACTGCTGAAGCCTGGGACGGGTTGGTCATGGCACTTCTTCCCACCCCAGGGCTCTGGGTTTAAGCCTGAGCTATTCAGGCTTGCCGTTTGAAGGCCCTTTGTCTCACCCAGAGACAAGAGGGCCTTGTGGAGGATGCTGACATAAACGTTTCTTCCCTGGGTTCTTCCCCAAAGTGAGGTCAGTGAAAGCTCTGGTCATCACCATCTTCAACTTTATTGTCACGGTGGCAGCTGCCTTCGTCTGTACTTACCTTGGAAGCCAGTACATCTTCACAGAAATGGCCTCAGTAAGTAAGCAACTGGGCAAGGCAGGGTATCCCAGGTGGGAGTGTTGGTGGGAGAGAGAGGATGTATGTGAAGGTGTCTTGAACAGGTTAGGCATTAGACAAACATTTATTTAGTAAACAAGAGGAGCATTTGAGCTGTCCAGCATTCATGGGAGTACATAATAACCTCAAGAGAATCCAGATTCTCTTTTCCCTTCCCCGAAACCTGTGATCTGGGCCCCCCCCCCCCCCCGCCATCTTTACCAGAGGCCCTGGAGTCTGCAGAGCTGGATGCTGGCCTGCATTCCCTAAGCCTGGTTCTTTCTCTCCCCAGCGGGTACTGGCTGCCTTGATCGTGGCCTCTGTGGTGGGCCTGGCCGAGCTTTATGTCATGGTGCGGGCAATGGAAGGCGAGTTGGGAGAGCTTTAACCTGAGGGTTCATCATCAAAGTCTGGAGCCGGTTTGGGGAGACTCCAGGCTCCCAGCAGCCAATCACTGACTCAGTCCACCTGTCAGGCCCTTTGTCTACAGCTCTGGTTAGTCAGAGGGCCAAGCCAAGGCCACCTGCTGTTCGTGCCAGAGCCCCAACCTCTCTCAGATTCCAGAGGGGCAGTAAAGGAGAGTCAGACAACAACTGAAAAGAACTGGTCTTTCAGTTCCTTCTCCTGAACCCAGTGCCCGTCTGCGTTCTATAGTCCATCTGGGCCCTCCCAAGGCTGGGTTTTTCCCCATCAGGAGTAAATAGAATCCAGGTCTTCCCAGAAGAGGACCACATTGCCTTGAACTTCCCCAAGTGTACAAATTGATGGTCCCCCTTGCTTCACACACCCTTGAGGCAGACATGTAATTTAGATCAGTAACCTCCAAAACAGAAAGGATTGCCTTTCTAGAAGCCAGTTTGTTTCAGAAGAGGAGCTGATCACAGGACATCAAATGAGAGAAAGGTTGGTACAGGATGCTGAAATTGGGAGCTAGGCGGCTACCTTTCCAGAATCTTAGTTTCATTCTTCATCCTCTGCTCACCTTTTTCAGATTTTCTGTATGTTTCTGCCTGTCTCTACCACTCACCAGCCCTCCTTAAACTGCCCACCTTTTCATCACCCTTTGCTCTGCCTCCGAAAATGAAAACAATTCAGATGGCAAAACAGTATGTCTGCTTTTAATTGAAAATCTCTTGTGCTGGTGTGTGTTGGTGGCAAGAGTATGCCTACTGTAGATTGTCTCAGCTAATACAGGGAGACGTTCTTTGTAGATAGGGACTGTTTCCAGATTTGACTGTATATATGGGCATAAATAACCATATACATGAATACATAAACATAACATGTTATGAGGATGTATACATATTATTGTATGTAAGCCTAACGGAGGTTATTTTATGTAGATTCTTAAAATGTCGGAGTTTGGGGGAGTGTGGAAAGTAGATTGTAAGTGTGCACAGTTGAGTAATTGCTTTACGTGATTACTCTTGGTCTTCATAACAATCCTGGAGGTTGGAAGAGGAAACGGCTTTAGGCCCCTTTTCCCCGAAGACAGAACTGAGGCTGAGAGAGATCAGATGACCAGCTGTGGTCCTTCCTCTGTTAAATGGAGCCAAAGACTGCGAAGTGGTGTTGAAGTCCCCATGTAATGTTAAACTTCCAAGAACTTAAATTAGTGGTGTACTGATAGAATCTGTGTAAAGGTCCTTAGAAACTGTCAGTAATAGCTTTTTATCCAATAAATATTTATTGTATCCATTGTATTCTTACTTCAGATCTTGTCACAACACAGAAGCCCAAAGATTGCTTAGTTCTGATCATTGTTCAGGTTCTGTTCGTATTCTTAGTATATGTGCTGTCGAAGCAAACACAGTTCAGGGTCTGTTCCTAATGGTATGTTCCTTTCCTTTTGTTCACACTGTGAGCTCCTGTGGCCTTTTCCCCCCCGCAGGATACACTTCTGTTCTTAGAAATTATACACTCATGGGGCTCCTGGGTGGCTCAGTCAATTAAGCGTCCAACTTGTGATTTTGGTTCAGCCCACAATCTCATGGGTTGTGAGACTGAGCCTCGCATCGGGCTCTGAGCTCAGTGGGACATCTGCTTGAGTATCTGTCCCTCCCTTCCTGTCTCTCTTTAAAATAAATAAATAAATCAGGGGGGGGGTGTTTGTTTGTTTTTTTAAAGAAGGAAAGAAATTACACACTCATTGGTTCAGTAGACATTTGCTTTCCAGGTTTGCTAGTTTCTACTTGATGCATAGCCCGTCCCAGCTTCCCCAGATGGTACATGAGAGAGAGGGAAGGTTTCCTTCCTCTTGTCCCACCACAGATGACTTTGTTGAGAAATCTTAGAATTTCTGTTGTTGGTTGAAAGAAATGTCAGCTGTGAGAAAAAATGCAGGTGGCATTTTACAATGTTTCTAGCAACCCAGACCACTTAAGACTGAGTTTAAAAGCTACACTGAATGTTTGTGGAGATTCATGGCTATCCTACTTGTGCTGAATTCTGCTGGCCAGGTAGCCTATGGGCCCACATGGCCTTCAGTGTTCAACCTCCCACTCCCCACCCCAGGTACCTGGATTGGAAGTTTGGAAGGCTTGTAAATGTTAGATGAAGGGCAGGCCCCCTCAAACAGCTTCTGACCCAGAGCGTCTTCTCACACTGAGATTGGGTCATTCCACATATACACCCCTTTTACCAGAATGGGGTCCTTACCTGAACCCAAGCCCCTCCTCCCAAGTTTAACAGACTCTGTAGCCTCGAACACTTATGGAGTCCTCCTTTATGAGCCATGGTACTGTGCTAGCTGCTGGAAATCAAGAGGTAAAAGACCTAGTTCCTGCCTAGGAAATCTTGACCGTGCAAAGTTTTCCATGTGCAGGGACAGAGCTGGAGATAGCAATCGGGTGGCCTGTCCTCTGGGTCTCGTCACAGAGAGGAGAACTCTCTGCTCTCAGCCACTTCCTCCCTCTCTTACCGCCCCCAGTGCAGTCTGGACGTAGGGCTTCCCAGGGCAAAAGGGAGTGCTTGGCAGGAGGCCAGGGGAACAAGAAGATTGGGGTCTTCCCAGTTTCTCCTCACCTGCCTTATGGAGAGGGAAGGTTGAATTGAGAGCTTTTACAATGCATCAACCAGACGAAGCCCTTCACTTAACATTATTGCTTCTCATTCCCCAAAATTGAGAGAAGACAAGTATTATCACCCCCCATTTTGCAGGCTCAGAGACTTTGAGAGAATTGCAAGGTTACATAGCAGAGCCAAGATTTGAATCCAGCCCAGACTGATGGCAAACTCATGCTTTTCTGGAGCAGAGCAGCTCCAGAAGTAGAGGCAGCTGGAACATCCTGGAAGCAGTGGGAGCGGGAGCAGAAGGTGCTAGCTGAGGCTCCCATCTCCCTAGGGTCTGTCAGCCGGAGCCCTAAGCCCTTCAATTAACCGTCCCTCTACCTAATCCCGCTGGAAGCCTGGGGAATGTCCCCCACCCAGGACCTGTGTGGAACCTGGCCCTATTTAGGGATTAGGTGATGGAGATACATTTCAAAAAGCAAACAGCGCTTGTCCCCATTCATTTGCAGCACACAACAATCCAGATTAAGGTATAGAGTTTGGGTTTTATTTGGAGATTAGTTGGCATTACAGATGACGGTGATATGAAAACCCAGTGTTGCCAGCACGCACTCCCCCACCCCCTGCTAAATCTGTCAGGTTGTCTCCACAACCTCAGGTCACAGGGCAGCCAATCTGATCTTTGTGAAAATTAAATGAACATAAGCCCCGGGCTCCTCTTTCTACTTTATGACTTTAATATCACTTCCTCTTCAGACCCGTGGTTCTGATTAATATGTCCAGGTGGTGGTAGGTCAGAAAAGGGGGCCCTGGTTCCCAGCAGCCTGAAGTTAGTCTCAGTGCTCTCCTCGCCTAACTCACTTAGCAGTTAGCTAGCTAATGGCCTGAAAGTGAGGGCTGGCTGCCCATTCTTTGGAGGGAGGAGGTGTTGTCACCTGGGGTGAGAAGAATTAAGGGCCTGGCCTGGCTTCTGAAAGGTGGAAAACCTGGCCCTTACCTCATCTCTCTGAAGGGACCTCCCGCCATGGCGATGGGCACAGGCTCAAGGAGGGGCAGAGTGCTGGGGAGCAGGACACAGGCCCTGGTGACTCTGGGCTGGACAGGATGACAGTCAGAGGGAGGGATGCCTGCACTAACCTTCCTTCTGATAAGAAAACTCCCTTGTGTAAAAGGAGGAGTGAGGGATCCACATCTGGTATGTTCAGTCCTAAGGGGCAGGGTGGGCTGCGGAGCCAGAGGAGCTATCTCAAAAGTTCTAGACTTAATTTAGGAGTGGTCCAGGTTGGTGACGATGGCAGAGGCATAGATGAGGTCAGATAAGCTGCCCAATGAGGTCTGGGGAGTGGCTCGCTCTGAAGAAAGGTGGACCCCTGAAACCCCAGCTGGTCCCCATGGGGCTACAGCCTTAGCCCCTGTCCACCCCTGTCCTGGACCCAAACCAGGAGCTGGGCAGGAAGCATGTCGACCCATTGAGGCACACTGAGGTGTGCTGTTGGAAGGTGGAAGCTGGACTAGTGTTCGGGGCTCCCGGGCCTGCTGGAGCGTGTCCGGAAGAGGACGGGCTCTCTGGGTGTGCTCAGGCCTGGGGCTTAGGCCTCCTGCCTTCCTATTCTTGATTCTCTTGGCCCGGCGATTCTGGAACCACACCTGATAAGGGAAAAAATAATCTCTTCTGGCACCAGCTCCCCCTCCCCCAGCTACAGGGAAAGCAAAACCTGGAGACAGGATACCCAGAGAAAAGGGACTGTGCGAGAGTACCCTCACCCTCAGAGGGGGTCACTGCTCACCTGTATCTTGGCCTCAGGAAGGCAGGTGACCCGAGCCAGGTGCTCACGCGTGCTGATGTCAGGGTAGGGCCATGCTGCAAACACCCGCTCCAGCTCCAGCAGCTGCCCCCTGCTGAAGGTGGTCCGCTTTCTCCGGTGGGAACCCAACCCACTGGTGTGGCCTGTGGGCCGGAGTAGGAGTCAAGCCAGGATCCTTTGCAAGAGCCTCCATCCCAGCCTCAAGACCCTCAGCAGACCCTGAAGTCCCTTCCCCGCTTCCTCATTTTGACCTTCCCCCAGCCTACTCTTTCCCCAGCAGATCACCTGTTGCGGGTGCATCCGCAGGGCTGGCCATGGAGCTGGCAGAGAACGAGGAGCCAGAGGGCCATGCCAAGGCTGTGCCCACACCACACCCCTCCTCCTGGGGTTTTATCCTGCTCAGAGGAGCAGCCCCGCCTCCAGGAGGGGAGAGGTTTCCTGTCCAGCTTGAGAGGAGCGGAGCCGTCCCAGAGGAAAGAGGGGAGGGCAGGGGCAGTGTTGGGGCTTGTGTGGGTCTAGGGGCGGGAGGCAAAACTTTGGTGGCCCCTGCTCCTTCAGGGCTCATGAAGGAAGCCGGTCCAAGACCCCCTCCTCACACCGCAGACTCCAACACTCTGTGTCTGAAATCCTGTGCTTTGTGGAAATCTTCCCAGGACACCTTCCAGGAGGCAAAAAAAAAACAAAACAAAACAAAAAAAAACCTGTCTCTAGGGCTCCTGGGGCTTCACCAGGCCCTTCTGGAGCCCTCAATGTGCTGTGCTGGTTGCCTTCAGGGGAGAGCGGGTGGACTCCTGTGCCACAGTGGAAGGCTGGGCAGGATGAAGAGGATGACAGGGACGGCAGGGGAACTGCAGCCACCCCGCCCCCAGCAGGGCTGGGGAGCAGATGTCCTCACCAGCCTGCCCTCAGGTCCGCCTCAGAGATTCATCTACGTTCAGCCATTTCTCCATGGCCCCCTGAAAGCCCAATGGGCTTCTTGGAGTCCAGGAACCTAGAAGCAGAGGAGGTTCCCCGGAAACAATCGAGGAGTTCTAAGGAGATATTTGTTTTTACAGAGTATTCATCCTTTTAAGTCTTCTGAGCCACTTTTCTTTTAAAGATTTTATTTATTTATTTTGACAGAGATCAAAGTAGGCAGAGAGGCAGGCAGAGAGAGAGAGAGAGGAGGAAGCGGGCTCCCTCCTGAGCAGAGAGCCCGACGTGGGGCTCGATCCCAGGACCCTGGGATCATGACCTGAGCCAAAGGCAAAGGCTTTAACCCACTGAGCCACCCAGGCGTCCCTGAGCCACTTTTCTAAGAGAAGTGGGTGCATTTGAATTCCCTTCGAGTTCTTGCCCTTCCCCCTCCTAACCTCAGTGACCCACACCCTAGACTCAAGACAGGCCTCAAAGAGAGGATCATCCTAGGGGTGCGTTTGGGGGAGCACAGCAGCCCCCCAGACCAACCACACTGCAGCTCAGAACAGGCAGAAAAGCTAAACCAGAACCCCACTCCCTCCGCCCCTTCTCTCTCCTCCAAGACCTTAGTCAACTCCAAGAGGCAAAGCAAGGCCAGGGCTGGGAGGAGCACTGGTTGCTCCCGTCATCATCAGTGGGGTTCAAGTTCCTGCTGATGTTGGTAGGTTGGTAGGGGCTGCTTAGCTCAGGCAGAAGGCTAGCACTCATGAGGCCTTCCCCAGCCCAGAGTTTTTGGGGTTCACAGGGCCTGAGCCCAACCGTGGACTGGACACGAGGAGGCTCTCCTCCCCCAAGACATCATGACACTCCAGCCTCCCCTCCTTTCCCCAAGCAAATCCGTGTCTCCTGCCTGTCCACCCCAGTCAGGACAGTAGTCTTAAATTCAGGGTCAGGGGATCTTTATTGGGCTAGATGGAAAAGGTTGAGGAAGGAATAGTGGAGGGCCCAGCTGTGTGGGCTCTGATTCCTACTGGTGGCCGGGGGCTGAGCAGCCCAACCAGTACTGGGCGATGGAGCGTGGGTAAGGAGGGCTCACAGTGTCCACTCGCCGTGTGCGAAGGTTGACTCGGTAGTACTTGTCTGAAAGAGAGGTTGGAAGAGGGTGTGTGAGACCCAGCCCCACCCTGCCCATCCCTGCCCTGAGAAGGAACACGTGGGTGTCTCCTGGAAGGGTAAGTGAACATCCAAAATGCAGCTAAGGACTCCCACCCTGTCCTTCTGGAGTCACCGCCCAAGAGCCATGTTCAGCCCACGGGGGACCAGGGACAGCAGGGAAGACCCAGCTGGACGAGGAGCTGCAAGGATGGCAGAGGCTCCCACCTTGTGAGAAGAAGTAAACACTTTGGATGGGTTCGCAGGTGGCAGGCACAAGCCAGTCCATGTCGTAGTCATAGTTGTAGGTGCCCAGGCCGCTCTCCTCACTGGAGAACCAGGACAGCCAGGTTGAACGGGATTGTCGGTGGGGGTTCTGGCTGCGGCCTCGGCCACGGAGACGGTTACTGCGTGAACGGTAGCGCTTACGGTTGCGGCGCTTAGACTTGAGCTTCTTGGCCCAGGATCTGGGAGCTGAGCCCGAGATGTAGATGCGGCCAGCTATGGCCGCGTCCACCTGCGTGGGCACACCGGGCCAGTCCTGGCTGATGAACCGGGGCTGTCCAGCACCACCTGTGGTGGGGGATGGGTTAATGAAAGCCCTGGGGGCCTGTAGAGTTCATCTGGTACCCAGCAATAGGCTGTTCCTTTGCCCAAGGACACCACAGGCTCATGGCAGAGCACAGCACCTGGGCCCTCTGACTCCCTGTCCAGTGCTCTTTCTCCTGGCCTTTCTCCACAACAAGCCTCGCCACTTGCCTCAGTCACAGCCCCTCCTCCTGCCGGCCATGCCCTTGGCTGTGCTAGGCAAAGTCCAGTGTGCGGGGTCCAGGTGGACCTCCCCCGAAAGGTCAACAGAAACAAAGTCTGGCCTGAGCAAACAGCTTTTGACCCATTGCTCCGCCATCACAGCCCCCTCTGGCTGGCAGTGCCCTGGCCCTCCTGGTCCCAGGAGGAAAAAGTGAGATTTGCCCTCCCTCCATACCGGAAGGTCTGTTCCAGAAGAGAAGCTCGAAGAGGGTCTCCCAGCTGTCCCTCTGCAGCAGGGCAAAGTGTTCAAACACGGCAGACAGGGAGCTGCCTTCACACTCCTCCTGACTGGGCTGCTGCTGGAACTCATACTCCCAGTACTGTCTCCCTGAGTGAGGAACCAGGATGGGGGAGGGAGGCCGGGGGTGGGGAGGAGATGTGTGAGCAAGGCTGGAAAGCCAGCCTCAAGGCTGCTGAAGATGGAAGCTCCTGGCAGGGGGTGAGCCTAGTTTGACCTTGCCCCTAGAGGAGTGTGGAGGCAAACTGAGACCACCCCACTGCCTGCTCTTTCTCCCACCCCTCCCTTGGTACCCTTGAAGAAGTAGACCCGCTCCCGGCCACTGTAGCTATGAGCAGGGAGAGCCAAGGCTGCATCCACGTTGTCTGGAATGCCCTTGAAGCCTTCAGAGATGTCGCGGGGGAAACCGGGGTCCAGGACACCATCCTCGTAGCGCCAGTACTGATTACCCTAAGGTAAGGCACAGGCTGAGTCTCCCACCCAAGGTGCAGCCATCCCAATTCTAAGCTTGTCACCTGGGATCTAGAGCCCTGGGTTTCCCTGTCCTCAAGAGCCCCAGTCACGAACCACAGGCTGGGATCCTGCCTTCTCGCCCGCCCTAGTCCTGGGCACAGCAGCCCTCCTCCCCTGCCTAGATTACCTTTGACCCTGACCCCCAGCCTCCGGGGCCTGGTACCTTGAAGAGATAGGTCTTCCCCTGACAGTTGATGCGGGTGAAGGCAGCATCAATGGGGCCCTCAATGCCCCAGACATCTTGGATAAGCTTGGGGTACCCAGGCCTCACTGCCTCTTCATCCAGCTCATAACAGTACCGCCCTAGAGTGCAGGAGGCTGTGTGAGAGAGGGGAGGTTCCAGCGACAGACCCCTACCCCCCAAGACGTGCCCCTGGAGTCACCTCGAAAGGCAAAAAGGGAGCCATTCTTGAGGTCAGTGAAGGCATCAAAGGGCTTCCCACTGCATAGCTCCTCCTCTGCTGGGGACTCAGTGATGACTTCAGCCTGTCCCTCAGGCCCTGAAGCCTCCTGTCCAGGTCCCGGCGCCTCTTCCTCTGGGCTCAGAATTGGTACCTGGGCGGGAGACTCTTCAGGCTGGGGCTGCAGGCCAGGGCTCAGTGTGGTGCTCTCTGGCTGTGTGAGGACGCTCGCCGAGGTCCCCTCGGGGTCGTCAAAGGCCCCGTACTCATCTTCTGGCAGAGTGAACACGTCCCCACGAGTCACTGCAGGCAGAGTGGGTGGTGGTGAGTGTCCAGCCGGAGAGGGGACCCCAGGCTCACCCAGCCCCTCCAGACACACCTTGGGGTTTGCACTCGGCCACGTAGTCCTCACAGCAGCTCTGGTAGTAAGAGCAGAGCTCGTCGCACTGACACTTCCTGTCCGAGTTGAAGCCCTCAGTGCAGCGACCTTTGCAGGACTCTGTGGGGGAGGATGGGTCAGTTGGCATGGCCAAGCCCAGACCACCCTTGCCCACCCTTCATTGGCCCCAAGGGCCACCGGTACCCTCTTTCTCGCACCTTGGTCAGCCAGAACAACCCACGCCAGCAGGGCGAGCCGCAGCAAAGGCCTCGGGGAAGCCATAGCAGGCCCCTAGCTTCCAGCCTGGTGAACTGGGCTATGCACTCCTGGAGGTCTCTGCTGTGGATGCTTGAGGAAGGGAGGGAAAGGTGGGGACTGGGAGGGAGGGAACCAGAGAAAAAGAGCTGCCTTCTCTCCTGTTCTGTTTGCTCAGTCTCTGGCCCAGCCCCCAGTGCCCTGGATCCCAGAGGCTGCTGTAGCCAAGGGTCACATTCCTGGAACTCTGGGCCTGGGAGAACTGTGAATGGGATTCTTGCCAAGCTCAGTGTCCTATCCGAAGGGAAATGGCACAGTGGATCTGGAGGACAGAAGGAAGGCTCACTATGCCCCTCGCAGGCTGTGTGACTTTGGGCAAATGGTTTTACCTGCCTTGGCTTTCTTTTTGGTCAAGTGAGACTAATTACACTTGCCTCGTGTTGTGTTGGGGGTTACACAAGCTAAAGCAGATGAAATGCCCAGGGCCTGGAGTAGCGCCAGCTTCATTCTCCATAAATGGTTATTTATCTGTGATCTGTTTGATCAGGCACATCCCCGACTGTGTGTCTCACTCATCCATTGTGTATTTAGGGCAGGGAAAGGGGGGTTGGAAGAATGCTGCTAAACACCCTGGGGAAATATTTTTATTAAAAAAACACAGATTTCGGGGCGCCTGGGTGGCTCAGTGGGTTGAAGTCTCTGCC